GAAATGTAGACGAACGAGAAATGCACTAATGGGTAACATTTATAAATATCAAAACCAAATATACTAGCTTTTAGTAAAACGTCACACAAATACACACACATGCCAGGAATAAGGGTATATTATAAAATTGGAATCTTTATTATCAGTTCTAGACAAAATAAAACCAAAGTAATGCATGAGAAAATATTCGACTAAGAAATGGAGAAACACATCCGTTCACAGCAAGCAGCGATAGCTATGACCAAAGAGATACCCAGCTAAGCGTCTGGCATGAGACCAGTCATACTAATCTAAAATTTTTCTTAATATCTCCACTTCCTACTCTTGATGCAAGACACATAATCTTTATTAGCATAGATTCTATAATTCCTACTTTAACTTCATTAATATGGCTTGAAAAGAATTTCAAAAGGAATCATGCATTTGTGGGATTGTTAGTCGATGTAAAGTCGATGCACACCAACAGTCCTGTAGGAGCTAATCAGGCTATAGAGTTAACTTTCTTTTCAGGTCATACTTATGGAGTTAAAGTGGGAGTTATGGAATTCAAGATAATAAGGAGTACGCATCTCACATCGATAAAAAGAAAAATTTGAGTTGAGAATGATTACCCATTAGGATTAATTGAGAACTGTTCTCAAATACTGGCGAATATGATAGAAGAAAGAATCTATTTGGGGTAAGATAGGCAGCTGGACCACTCGACTAGGGTCTTGATGTTACCGTCGAGTAAGCACTCTAAAAAGATAAGAGAGCTACTGAAGAAGTGGGACTACAGGATAATTTCTGAGGAGAAAATAACACTTTATTCAGTGATGCCATCTTTACGAAAAATTACGGACCCAATTTAAGAATCCGACTCCTCTAATTTTTTGTGTTCATGTGATAGCGTCTATGTGGGGGAGACCTGTAGACACATATATAAGGGGTTACCTTAACCTAAAACAGCCTGCATAGGTTTGTGGGTCAAAAAGTTAGAACTGATCGAACAAATATCGCACATAGGACATCTAATAAACAGGTCTAATGCCAAACACTTACCTGGATAATGTAGCCTATACAATTAAACGAAACGAATACCTAACCATATCAAGAAATGTCTCATTAAATGGACCTAACTAAACTATAAAAAGTATTTATAATTACAGCCGGCCACTTCCATAGTCTTTGTGCTCGATTAATTATCGTAAAGCATGGTGTCCTGCTATGATGATGTTCGTCACGACGACCAAAAGCTCAGCAAGGATTCATTGGGGTCGCAGGGCAATACGTCGATGGCCTAATCGCACAAATCTGCAATCATAGCTCCAAGGTAAACCCATAAAGTATACAGGTAGGCCAACTTAAAAATGTCTTCCACTCACCTAAAGAAAAATGAAAGGTGCTCCAACGTCAATCTAATAATACATTCTTCGGAAACCAGTTTTTCTACATACAAGATCAAACTGACTTGACAAAACAAAAGGAGACAACGAATAAACCTAAAATGTCATCTTGGTCTTTATATTCATGATATAATACAATAAGTTTTAGAG